GGGGGGCGGCGCGGCCACCCGCGGGCGGCTCTGAGGCGGACGGAGCGCGGCCGGCCCCGCGCCGAGCGGCGCCCCGGGGCCGGCCTGGCGCTGCCCCCTGCGGGCCGGGCATGGGCGGGCGCTGAGCGGGCGGCATGGAGGCCATCTGGCTCTACCAGTTCCGCCTCATCGTCATCGGCGACTCCACCGTGGGCAAGTCCTGCCTCATCCGCCGCTTCACTGAAGGCCGCTTCGCACAGATCTCCGATCCCACGGTGGGCGTGGATTTCTTCTCCAGGCTGGTGGAGATCGAGCCGGGCAAGAGGATCAAGCTGCAGATCTGGGACACGGCCGGGCAGGAGCGGTTCCGGTAGGGCTGCGGGCGGCACGAAGGAGGGCCGCCAAGCCGTTTATTTACGCCCTTCGTTTCTGCCGGGCGAAAGCCGGGGCGCGGCCCGGCGGGCCGAGGGATGCGGGGCTCCGGCCGCGTGCGGGGCGGTGCGGGGCGCGGGTCTGCAGCTGCGGATCCCGCCGTCTGCAGGGCAGGGCGGTGCGGGGATGAGGTTTGGGGTTGAGGTTGTGAGAGCGGCCCCGAACCCCGGCTAATCGCGTGGGCGCGCTTCTGTTTTTCGCCCATCTTTGACCCGCTTTCCTCCCGCTCCCTCCGGAAGCGTTTTCCTTTCTCTGCGTCTCCGCACAGCATCGCGGAGCCGCGCTGCCGTAACGCTTCCATTCACACGTCGATGAACGCTGCCCGCTCCTGCCCCCCCGCCTCCCATCCCGACCCCCAGGGCCGCGCTCGGTCCTTGCACACGGACAGGCTTTTTGCCGAGGCCGGGAGTCGCTGCTTTATTCCGCTGGCTGAGAGGAGGCACCGGAGAGCTCGGTTGCGTCAGATTCCGAAACACGGCCGTGTGTGATCCCGCGCCAGTGCCCTGCTGTGAGGAGGGGAAGCTGTTGGACGCCTCTGGTTTCCCATCTTGGAAAATGGAGGGAAGTCTGGGGCCCCCGGGGCTGCTTGCTCTTCTTGCTGATGCCTGAACCTGCATGTAGACGTGGTGACAGGCGACCTTCAGCACAAGGGCAGCAGCGCTCAGCACCAGCAGTGCGAGGGGCAGGAGGGTCGCTGGCATAGGAACACATCCTGCCGCTTGGAAGTGCCCTTGCCTAAGTACTGACTTAAATTCCCAAAAGAGGAAGGTAGAGGGAAGCAAGCAAGCACAGCTACCTTTATGGTATACTGTCTGCTGTGACGAAAGTCTGTTTTGCATTTGTCCCTATTAAATCCCAGTTAACCCTGTCATGCGTTGTGCTCCATGAAGCTGGCAGCTCCTAGGCTTCCCCTTCTTGGTAAAAGGCAAAACACTGCTGACACTGGGGTAAGCTGAAGTTGTGAGTGCAGGCAAGAAGCGTAGCACTGCATGTGCTCTCCAGAACTGTTACACTTGTTTGTCACAGTGCAAGGAATTTCTTAACAAGGAAATTCTTAGGAAAGAACTCCGGTATTTCATGGAGTTCTCAATTTTGAGCATTTGCAGCTGCTCTGCAGTAAGTTGACAGCTGTCCCATGTGGAGGAAAGCACTGCCATTGCCTTGATACACCGTGGTGGTATCTGCTGGTCTGCATCTCTGCTGCAGTTTTGCTCTTCCTGACTGTTGTGAGTTCTCTCACTCTCCATCAATGAGAATCTATTCCTGTGCAGTCAGGGCTTAAGCTACAGTTAAGCACGTGCCTCTGTTTTGTCATCTCGGCCACAAAATGGTGCTCTTTGGGTCAGTGTTGAGGCTGTTTTGGAGTTGTAGAACAGCAGGGTTCCGTTCTTCCTGGATCCAGCAGGTTGTGCCCTTCTCAGGTTGCTCAAATACTCCAGTTTCTTGCCTGAAACATGACGTCGTGTAATGCTAACAAAAGCAAAAGCATGTGCAGCCCTCCCTGGCTGGAAATGCGTACCAGCACCTACAGAAGAGCTGTTCCCTTCCAGTGAGAGGGAAGGGCTGGGGTGGGCGGTGAGGACCCCAGGTAGAGGCAGGGAGAGGGAGAGGTCTTGCACAGAGGCGGTGCCTTTGTTTAAAACTTGGTCAGAGTGGCTGTGAGTCACAGCACTGCTCTGCTGCGGTGACGGGAGGGGCGGGAAGGGGTGGGCAGGGGTCCCGTGGGGAGCTGGGCAGCGAGGCGCAGAGTGAAGGCAGCGTCGCGTGCTTCCTGCGGAGCGGTAAGGAGATGTCTGTGGAAAGGCACCCAGACCTTCACCTCGTTTTGCCTCAGCGCAGCGCTCTGCTCAGATCCCGTCATGTCTCTCAGAAGTACCTGAGGCACCGCTGATGCTGGCAGGAGCAGCCAGGGCTGGTGTGCTGGCACACAGGAGAAGCAGAAGTGCCTGTGACAGCATGGGGGTGAATTCAGAGTGCCAGTGTCTGTCTGCAGCTGGCCAGAG